AAAGGTTTTGATCCGGCCTGGAGAAACCGGATTGATTCCTTTACACAAAAAGGGAGTGTTGGGATTAAGGTGAATGATGATGTGGGTCACTATTTCCAAACACACAAGGGGCTACGGCAAGGAGACCCTATGTCACCGACCCTGTTTAACATAGTGGCTGACATGCTGACTATTTTAATAGGTCGGGCAAAGGATGCAGGGTAGGTAGGTGGCCTGGCTCCACATCTTGTTGACGGCGGGATTTCAATTCTTCAGTATGCTGATGATACTATAATCTTTATGGAGCACGACTTGGCGACAGCAAGAAACATGAAGCTGCTGTTATGCTTATTTGAACAATTGTCTGGGCTCAAAATCAACTTCCACAAGAGCGAATTGTTTTGCTTTGGAAGAGCCAATGATGACCGGGAGTCGTATCAACAATTGTTCGGATGTGAATTGGGCTCATTACCGTTTACGTACTTAGGTATACCCATTCATCATCGTAAGCTGACTAATATTGAGTGGAAATGCATTGAGGATCGTTTTGAAAAGAAACTGAGTTGTTGGAAAGGAAAGCTCATGTCATACGGAGGACGATTGATTCTGATTAATTCGGTCCTTACTAGTATGCCTATGTTTCTCTTATCCTTTTTCTTGGTTCTGGTCGGAGTCAGGAAAAGGTTAGATTTCTATCGATCTCGATTCTTTTGGCAAATTGATGAGCTTAAAGGAAGTACAGACTTGCGAAGTGGGATATTATCTGTAGGCCTAAGGACCAAGGAGGCCTAGGTATTGAAAATCTGGAAGTCAAAAACATATGTCTCCTTAGCAAGTGGTTTTTTAAGCTGTCATCTGAGACGGGGGCCACTTAGGCACAGATTTTACGCAATAAGTATCTCTATGCTAAAACCTTGGCTCAGGTGAATGTGAGGCCTTCCGACTCTCCCTTTTGGAAGGGTTTGATGAGAGTTAAACAACTCTTTTTCAACAAGGCTAAATTTATTGTTGGGAATGGTGCCACTATGAGGTTTTGGGAGGATACGTGGCTTGGGGAGACCTCCCTTGCACTTCAATATCCTTCTTTGTACAACATTGTCCGACGTAGAGAAGCCTATGTTGCTAATGTTTTACAATCCGTTCCCCTCAATATCAGTTTTAGATGGACGCTTGTTGGAAATCGTTGGGAGGCCTGGCTCCATCTCGTTAGACGTTTAATGGAAGTCCGGCTGTCTCAGCAGCCAGATCAGTTGCATTGGAAACTTACTAAGAACGATGTGTTCTCGGTCAAATCAATGTATCTGGATGTTATTAACTCTAGCGTCATCCCTACCTCGTTACATGTTTGGAAAGTTAAGGTACCCTTACGTATCAAAGTGTTTATGTGGTTTGTGCATAAACAAGTCATTTTGACTAAGAATAACCTTGCAAAATGAAATTGGGTGGGCTCGGCTAGATGTAGCTTTTGTGATCATAAGAAAACATCAAACACCTCTTTCTCGATTGCCCGTTGGCTAAGATTCTGTGGTAGTCGGTTCATATTGCGTTTAATATTAATCAGTCCGCCTCTATTAGCATGTTATTTGGAACATGGCTTGATGGGGTGGATTCTGACACTGCAAGACACATTCGGGTTGGCGTTTGTGCTTTATTGTGGGCAATATGGAACTGCAAAAATGATTTAGTCTTTAACAGAGCAACAACCATTCACTTTTTGCAGGTTATCTTCAGGGCCACGGCGTTCATCCGTATGTGGTCGCTACTCACTCCGACGAAGGCCAGTGAGCGTTTGGTTACTGCGTCTACCCGATGGGAGATGGTAGCTCGGGATATTTTCAACCGGTTTAGATGGCGGTCATGTAATAGGATAGGCATGTAGTGATCCTATTGTTTTGCCAGCCGGTTGTGGCTTTGGGTCTTTCCTCTTTTGAGCTTTTGTTTATGATTGTACTATGACCTTTCGAGACTTTGTTACTAGAATTTTCTATTAATAATATGAGTCGTATACATCTTTCGGATGCAGAGGCTGGGGTACATCCCCTTTTCCAAAAAAAAAAGATGGATAGGGGATAATAGAAGATAGTGTTAGAGGGAAACATCAATTGACAAGTATTTACGAACAATGACAATGGACATGAACGAAGAAAGTATGTCTCATGTAAGGCCCGCCCAGCGACAGAGGGATTGCAGCACCCGAGCTCCACTGCTCTCTATATTTAAACATTTTGAAATTTATGTTTTTGAAGTTTCAAAAAAATGTGAATTTTTTCCGGAGTAACGTATACACACTCCGAATACCCATGGCAAGTTTCGGTAGAAATCTCGTTTTGTTTTGGGCTATAGAAAAAAACAAAATTCTGACAGCATGTACGAGAAAATGGATGCCATTTATGTCAGAAATTTCTCCTTTTTGTATTTCTCAAAATACAAGGTATTTCTTTTTCAGCTTTTTACCAAGCCTTAGGAATGTGTGTATATATTCATGTATTTGATTTAAGATTCTTTTTACCAACGGAAGTGTGTTTTTCAAAAATTTCAAATACCAAGAGCAATGGAGCCCGGTAGCTGCAGGCACTTTTCGCCGCCCAGTGTCCTTCATGAAGTAAAGTATACATTGTTCTTTGTCTAGCTTGTGAGATAGGATAGGTTCTCTTTGTGGGAGAGAATGGTTTGCCAGAAACAATTATTCTTCTGTCTCACTTCCTTGTCCGAAAATACTTGTCGGAGAAATATCGAAGAAATGAATAAAAATGAATATATATATATATATATATATATATATATATATATATATATATATATATATATATAGAACTAAAATACATCGAGATACATCCGTTTCTCCGACGGGCGGAGGAAGTATTATTCTTTCCGGGCAATTAATCCTCCACTATGCCCATTTATAACACACCTTATAATTTACCTTGTGTCCATTATATTATGAAGAACATTGTAACCAACATCACTTAAGCACATTTGTTTCCTTTTTAATGGAACCACGATTGTAGATGGTGGTTTTTCATAGGTTTTTCATTTTGGTCAACAAAATCTAGAGTGGTAAACATTTCCTAAGAGCATCTACAGTCGGAGTTGGCATCCAGACCCTCAAACGCCCGCGGATGCGCATGACGCGTCCGCGTGCAGTGACTGATCACACCTTAAATTTACTCCACTGCATTTGGATACCTCATATTTAAAACCTTAAATCCATACAAAAGCATGCAAAAAGAAATCATACATAGATCAACAAATACTACTCTATACCTCATGGGAGATGTTCACTATCTCCATGCCCGACTTCGGGTACATGGGTGACAGTCAACTCTGGCTCTTGCGGCTCCTCCGGCTGCTCCGCATCGGCCTCCACCTCCATCGGTTTTCGTGTCGGAGGAGCCGCAAGAGCCAGAGTTGACTGCCACCTCCAACTCCACGTCTCTTCTATCTAACTATTTTCATGTGATACGTCAGTCAATAAGCTTGGGTGAACAGTAAAATCAGTTTTCTAGAAAAAGAATCGAAAAATTCTAAACATTTTTTGACAAACATTGACAAATGTCCTAAGAGGTTGCAAAATTTCATTACGGAATCACATTCCTGAAAGGCGTGACAAAAAAAATTGATACTCTAAAAATGCTACTTTCGAAAGCATTTTGGAGCACTGAATTTTTTCTTGTCAAGACTTCGACAAATGTGATTTTTTTTATAAAAAAATACTGTTCACCCAAGCTGAGGTCATTTGAACACGGGCTGAGAAGATGACTTTCCAGAAAGAAGAAGGTACATAATGATCATTAGGATCCACATGCTTTCTCCCAGTCAGCAGACGAGGTTGCATTGGTTCTGGTTCCTTGGTGCAGAATCAGACTTGGCAAACATGTGCCACTGCATAGAAACTGAATCAGGCGAACTAACATGTGGTTGGATGGTTAGAGCGACTATGGTATCCCTAGCCCATCAGGGTTCAAATCCTGGTGCTCGCATTTATTCCTGGATTTATTTCAGGATTTCCGGCGAGGCGCATTCAGCGGGAGGAGACGTTCCCGTCGACGACGAGGCACCTACGGTGACTTCGTAAATCTCAAGATGATATGCCGGCTCAGTCTTTCGGAGGTGCTCATAGGGGTAGGGTGTGCATGTGTGTGTTCATAGGGGTGAGTGGCGTTCATAGGGGTGAGTGTATGCGCGTGTATATGAGCGCTTGTGTCTGTACTGATGTTCAAAAGAAAAACTAAATCAGGTCCGACAAAAAAATCCAGTATTCTCGCCTTGTTTTTCTTTCACATGCAAAGATCATTTAGCAAAAATCGGTATGATGAAAAACTCTAAAAAGGGTGCGTAAGCTAGGAATTAAACCCAGACCTTGAGCCACAGGACACTAAAGGCCCAATAACAATTAAATCCAAAATTATGTGAATTCAATTGATATGGGGTCATTTTGTTAAAAAAGGATTAGCTTATATTCAGTTATTTCGTTGCGAGTGAACAAATTGAGGCCGATGATCCGGCTAGTGAAAACCTGAAAACCGGCAACCTCATCCGCTCTGTTGCTGTTTTTTTCTAATTTGCCACATGCGTCAATTCGGCTGTTAAAAGCCATGAAACTACTGGAACAAAACTGGATACCCTAAGAGCAACTATAGCAGAACTGGTAGGGTTCCATTTCTTGAAAATGAATAATAGTAGGAGAAGCCTCTCTTCAAAAAAAATACAAAATTAGGAGAAGGTTTCCATTTCTTGAAAAATAACTGGTTACACAACAAAACTGGATATACCTTAATGATGGCCTTAGTAAACACGGTCCAACTATTATGCTTTGTCACATTATATATCTAACCACAAGTCAAGTAGTAGTCAACCTTCAGGATCCAGCTGGCCATTCGCGAGAACTATTGGCTAGCGTTTTTTTTTTTTTGAACCAACTGGCTAGCGTATTCACTCATCTATTTATAGCCCTGGAAAAGCACCATCGTGCTAGGAACTCAGGACAGGAGCACGCATCCACACCCACCCGTTCGGCAAAGATGAAGCTGGGGTGTTCTCGGTTTCTTCTTTCTTGCCATGTTCTTCTCTGCCTTTCGGCGATTTGGGTCCTGGCCATGGCGGATGTACCGGCAGGCCAGCGTCCCGGCTGCCCGGCCAAGTGCGGGGACGTCGACATCCCATTCCCGTTCGGCATCGGCGACAAGTGCGCTTTGCACAGCGGCTTTAACCTCAGCTGCACGAACACGTCTGTGGATGGCGTCAAGAAGCCTCTTAAGGGGAATATCGAGGTGACTAAGATCATTTTGCCTGAGGCCAAGGTCCGAATGAATACCAGGGCGATCTCGTCGCAGTGCTATGACCCAGCCACTAGAAGTATGAACTACATTGACTTTGGGCTGAACCTCACCGATTCACCTTTCTGGATATCCGAGGTGGATAACAAAATTATTGTCATCGGGTGCAATACTCTCGCTTATATGACAAGCTCTACTGTAAGTAATTTCGGCATTTTTATTAGAGTTAATTTTATTTTTTTACCTTAAATTTTCTGTTTATGACATATATTATCACAATTTTTAGCGAAAATTCTTAATTCATACCTCTTTTTTTCCCGTATACAATTTATACCCCATTTAAACAAATTTGTGCTACATTTTACACCACTTAGTGTTTTCCCCGATTTTGATACTGGACGTGCCATGTCCCTGGTCCTTTTTTTAAACATTCGCCACATTCACGGTCTTTTTTTGTAGTTTGTCGTCTGATTTTCTTTTTAACAGTAGGGAACCAAACCAGACTATGTCTCTGAAGTTTCAGACGTCCGTTTTGGGTGCCTACGTGTTCTGATTTGGCCTACTCATGATAGGCCTGAATGCCGTGAACTGCTATGCTTCGTTTTATAAAAATGGAGCGAGGGAGAAACCCCTTTCATTTAAAAAAAAAAAGAACCGAACCAGACCCAAGTTGAACCGAACTGGCGCCCGCATACAGTAGCTCTCCGGCCAACACCAAGCCCCCAAGCCCCTCCTGCCGCAGCCCGCGCCGACACTGACCTATTCCGGCGCAATGGCCACCACCGGAGAGCGGCGCCTCCTGGCCAGGCTGCTGCTCCCGGCCTTGTGACCTCGGCACACTGCATGGACGGGGGGACACCACAACCCCTGGCTGTAGCGCGCCGTCGGAAGCATAAGATCCACTCGCCGAGTAATGCTACACACACGGAGTCGTTATTACGGAATCAACGGATTATTAATAGGTGGCACTTTTTGACTGAAGACTAGGAGTGAGGCAGGCTCATCCCCATAAAATTCAGGGGCGGAGATTAATTAGTGTTAAGATGCCCGTGAGATGGTGCGTCTAGGATTATGGTCCACTGGCCGATCAAGACGTCGGAGGTGGTCACGCGCACGTACACGTACGAAGTTGGCTTGTCAAGCAGGTGGTTGAAGGATTCTTCACGAGGCCAGCTAGGAACACGGCAATGCTAGACGTACGGAGGCTTTACAGGACTTTTACAGGCAATGCTGAGGTGGGCTGGTTTAATTGGTAATTAGATGAGGTGGGCCCCACCCTGAAACTCAGGGGGGAGGAGATTAGTGAGGGAGGAGGGTTGGTCTGTAAATCCTTGTAAAACAAATCCGTACGTGTAGCATTTTTGCTAGGAACATATACACAGTTATTTCCTCCCTAATTTAATATAAGACGTGTATTTCCATTAATCAACAATGAATAGATTAACAAGGCTTTTTTCTTCAAATAGTTTTTTTAGATGCTACAAATAGATGTTTTCCTTACAATAAAAAACACGTAATTCCTTGATTTAATTGTTGGTTTGTTTAAATACATCTCATATAGGGTTTCCGTGCAGTATGTAATAGGTTGCCGTTCAACATGCAAGAACGTCACCCTCGAGAACGGCAAATGCTCTGGTGCTGGCTGCTGCCAAGCCGATGTCCCAAAAGGCATACAGTATTATCGTGGCTATTTCAACGAAAACTACAACACTTCTACCTGGCCAGACAACCCTTGCAGCTACGTGACATTGATGGAAAAGGCAGCTTTCAGTTTCAACACCAGCTATGTGAGATCAAATTCTTCAGTGTTCGATGAGACATCCAATGGGGTAGTTCCAATTGTCCTGGACTGGAAAATAGATGCTCACGCTTGCGAGGAAGCTAAGAACACGAGTTCTTACGCATGTGTTAGCAGCAACAGTGTGTGTGTGAATGCCACCACCATCGAGCCAGGTTACCTCTGCAATTGCTCCGATGGGTACAGAGGTAACCCATACATCACGGACGGATGCCAAGGTGACTTCCCTTTTGCTGCCTTGTACATTTGACATGAGCTCTCTCGTAGTACTACCTTAATTAGTTCATGAGTCACCTGTGTATGCACAACTTGGCAACTTGAATTGAAACTAATTGTTCTGTATCAGATATTAATGAGTGCCTTGAAAATGCTAATGCTTGTGGCAATGGGATCTGTGAGAACACGCCGGGGAATCACACCTGCTCATGCAACCCAGGAAGTTCCATGGTGAATGATGTTTGCGTTGAAAAGCCTTCCCGTTTTCCGGTGATGCCTGTTGTAGGTGAGTTCTACTCTTTGGTGAGCACTATAAAAACACACAGCGGTACGGAAGCTTAAGAACTTACTTTGTATGCTATATATAGTACTCCCTCCGTCCCATAATGAGGGAGTAGTAATATATAGAACAGAATAACTCCAACACGATAGACCAGTATTATGTTGTTTAACAACAAGTAGTGTTTGACAAATTTTATCTTGGCAGCAGTGTATTTTTCTCTCTTCAAACAAATTACTTTTATGGTTGTGTGCATCATAATGAATTAATGGTGCAGAGGCCGGGGGCTCAACCTCCTTTTCGAAAGAAGAAAAAGAGCAGATTACTTTTAAGTTTCCACTGGTCAACTAATTACATTAATATTGAATGAATGTCTCATACCTCTATGTGGATGGATAATCATGCAGGTGCAAGTGTTGGAGTAGTCGTCTTTGTGGTTGCTTTAGCATGTGCATGCATGATCCAAGAGAGAAGAAAGCTACAGAAAATGAAACGAGACTACTTTCGGCAGCACGGTGGTCTAATATTATTTGATGAGATGAGGTCAAAGCAAGGTATTGCATTCAAAATCTTCACGGAAGAAGAACTGCAGCAAGCCACGAACAGGTTTAGTGAGCAACAAGTACTTGGTCAAGGGGGCTATGGAACCGTGTACAAGGGGATTCTTAAGGGCGACGTGGAAGTAGCGGTGAAGAGATGCAAGACCATTGACGAGCAACAAAAAAAAGAATTTGGTAAAGAGATGCTAATCTTGTCCCAGGTCAACCATAGAAACATTGTGAAGCTCCTCGGGTGTTGCCTCGAAGTGGAAGTCCCCATGCTGGTCTACGAGTTCGTCCCAAACGGCACCCTCTTCCAGCTTATACACGGTAACCATGGCATGCGTATCTCCCTGGCTACTCGCTTGGGGATCGCCCACGAGTCCGCCGACGCGATTGCCTACCTCCACTCATCGGCTTCGACGCCGATCCTCCACGGCGATATCAAGTCCCCCAACATTCTTCTTGACATGGACCACCAAGCTAAAGTTTCTGACTTTGGCGCCTCCATCCTGGCACCAACTGATAAGTCACAATTCATCACACTGGTACATGGAACATGCGGGTACCTTGACCCGGAGTACATGCAAACCAACCTGCTAACGGACAAGAGCGACGTGTACAGCTTTGGGGTTGTTTTGTTGGAGCTACTCACGGCCAAATTGCCATTTAATTTTAATCCGGATGTCCCTGCCCACGAGAAGAGCCTATCAATGATGTTTATGTATGCCATGAAGGAGAATAAGCTCGATCAAATCTTGGATGTTGAGATCAAGGATGGGGATAACACAGAGATTATTGAAGAGATCGCGGAGCTAGCGATGCGATGCTTAGAGATGTGTGGTGACAATAGGCCATCGATGAAGGAAGTTGCGGAGAAGCTTGATAGTCTGAGGAAGGTGATGCAACATCCATGGGTACAGCGGAACCCTGAAGAGATGGAATGCCTACTTGGAGAGCCCTCATCGATGGCCAGCTCGGCAATAACCAGTGCCGAATATTTCAGCATCGAGAAGAAAGTTGTTAATGATCTGCAGTCAGGTCGTTAAGTAATCATACCATCGCTTTGCTTTGTTTATTTTGTATTCGAAAGCAAGAAATCAGTAGCATCAAAAATAGAATAAACAGACAATTGTTATAGCTACCTTTATGTTATTGTTCATTTTGCCAATTATACATGTGCAAATTTCGGTGTTTATATGGTTATGTATCTTCTGAAAAATGCAGATGTATGTGAGTTATTATTTCGTCAATTTTGCATAGTTCGCTTTTCAAATGTGATTTAGCGTGGTAAATGCTTGACGCATCCTCTAAATCTTTGTATTTTATTTTACTTTATATTTTTTTGCGGGTAAAATCTTTGTATTTTATGATCAGTCTTCCGCAACAACAACAAAAAAGCTATGATCAGTCAAAGAGTATGGTATCGTACATAACCCAATTCAGGCTACTGGACATCTACATGAGCTTTTTTTTCTTTTTGTGGGGAAGACACAGGCGCGGCTATATCTCGCTTCTAGCAAGACAAACCGTCCACTTGCCTGGAACGACATGGTAATAGGCCGGCACAGTGGCCTGTTCGCTCGATCGTTTTTCATTCGTTCACTTGATTTCGTTTTTTCTTTTCTCTTTTTTTTTTACTTGTTTACATTTTCTAAAAATATAAATGTACACATATTTTAATTTTTTTACTGAAATTTGAAAAAAAATGTTGATAGCTTTTGAAAAAAATGTTTCAACACTTATTTGAAAAACATGTTTAACTAATATCCAAGCAACACTGTTCAAAAACATGTGTTTTGAACAAAAGTTAATCATAAATATGGAAAATGTGAAACTTATACAAGATAAATGTCTCAGTTGTATATGAAAAATGTACAAATGCGTATGGCACAAAGAAGACATCGAAACATGTATTTAAAAAGAGTTAATCATTGTTTTAGAAAAAAAATAAACATGTATAAAAATGTACTTGATGTATATAGAAATTGTAAACATCAAGACATGCATTTAAAAATGTTAATCAGGTATTTTTAAAATGTTGAACATGTATAAAAATAATGTCTCATATGAATGCGAAAAATGTACAAGGTTTATGAGAAAAAAATAGACATTAGCATATATAATAAAAGAATAGACATAAAAATATAAGTTTTCAAATATTTTAACGATGTATAGGGAAAATGTTAAACTTGCATATAAAAATGTTCATGATGTATACGAAAAATGTTGAATGTGTACAGTAAGAACCATGCATTGAACAAAAAAAGAAACCGATAAAAATCGACAAAAAGCACAGGAATACGAAGAAAACAAATAAAAACCAAAAAAATATAACCCAAAGAAAACCAATGCAAATTTTTTAAATGTGTATAGAAAAAATGTTGACTATGTATAGGAAAAATATTAATCTTTTATTTGAAATATTTTAATCAAGCATTTGAAAATGTTAATGTCTGTAGAAAAAATGTTGACCATGTATTAAAAAATGGCAATCTTAAATTTTAAAAATGTAAAAAGAAAAAATTTACCTTTTTATTGAAAAAATGTTTAACTTGTTTAAAAAAATATTAAACATGTATTAGAGAAATGTTCTTGATGTATACGAAAATTGTAGAATAAAAACCAATATAAACAAAGAATGTAAAAAAATCAATGAAACGCACAAAAGAAACAAAAGGAAACCAAGTAAAAAAGGAACATGAAAAACAAAATTGAAAAAACAAGTGCAAAAGAATGGAGAAAAATAAATACCAAAAAAGAAACAAAGAAAACAAAAGAAACCAGTGAAAAGTCATGAAAGAAACAAAACCCAAAATAAAAAAAGGAATGAGTATGAAAAGGAAAATCGAGGAAAACCATGAAAGAAACAAAGAAAACGTAACCATGTATTGAGAAAATGTTAAAAGTGTATATGAAAAGTGTGCCCGTTGCATACCCAAAATGTTGAATCTATACAGAAAAGAAACATGTGTTGAACAAAACAGAAACCCATGAAAATTGACAAAAGGCACAGGAAAGAGAAGAAAACCAATTAAAAGTTTAAAACCAAAAAGGAAATAAAAATCGAAAAATAACAATGCGAAAGAATGAACATGAGAAGGAACAAACGAAAATGAAGAAACCCAAAAATAGAAACAGGACAATGAGGAAAAACAAAGAAAGAAAGGCACAAAATAAAAAAACCAGTGAAAACCAAAAAAGAACGAAAGAAGAAGAAAAAAAGGAAAAAATCAGTAAAACCCATGAAAGAACCCAAGAAAACTAGTAAGAAACCACTAAAGAAACAAAATAAACGAAAAGTAAAAGAAAGAAAGAAAATGAAAAAATAAAAGAAAAATCAGACAACCAGTACGTCATCGAGTGAGCTGAGCTGAAGCTAGGGAAGCAAGCAAGCGACCTAAGCTAATGGGCCAGCTCGATATGCAGGCAAGACCCTAGCTCTACATCTCTGCAAGAACCCTAAGCAAGCAACAACACTAGACGACCTTGAATCGAGCTCGAATCACACCAATTAGCGGCGTTGTCGACAGCAGAACCGGCAGGCGACAAACGGAGCAGAGCAGAGGAGAGTGAGGAAGACAACTCACAATACTTCGAAGGGAAGACGCCGAACGGGCAGATGAGATGAGCGGAGGAGGCGCCTCCACACCGTCGGTTAACTCCGGCGGCGATGCCGTGGTGGCTGACGTCATCAACAGGTGATCGCCGCTGAGCTCCTGTTGGCCCCGATAGCATAGAACATGGGTGACAACGAAATGAAATGTGTGCGAGGAGACAAATTTAATTTAGGTGAGCTGTCCTGCGGGTTGAATAGGGAAAACAGTACGTTTTTTTTTTGCATAAATGCATGAGCCAACCGGTCCGGCCACTTGGCCGCCACATGTCGCGTTGTGATAGGCTTAGGACTAAATTGTCATTTCTAATATAAGTTTGAGGGCCGCGGGGTGAAGGTTTCCAATTTTTGGACCAAATCATCATATTTTGTGCAAGTTTTAAGACTTGGGATGTTTTAACTCCTCCAGAAGGTAGGCAATGCCGCACAAAATCTCGGGGGCATGGATGGTCCAAACCGGAATTTGTGAAGCCATTTACACAGATCTTCAAAATAGTTGGAATTCATCACAATCACTACTAACACTTACGCGTTCATGTAGAAAAATTAGGTACTTGACTCTCAGTCTCTCACTCAGCAACGTCCGAGATGCCCGGGGCGATGCAGTAGTACGGCCGCGCCGCTGTGTCAAAAAGTCGATACTGCCTAGCGTGGCAGAATTGATAAATTTAACCTCAAAGTGAAAGTATTTCACAAACTAAACTGTTTTTAAAAATATTTCACACCGCCAATCTTTTTGTGCAGCTCCCAACAGTAAGGCGCTGCACCCTACTGTGCAACTCCTTACAGCTAGGCGCTGCACAGTGTAGTGCAACTTCTTACAGTTAGGCGCTGCACAATGTGGCGCCTGTGTGTTAGGCGCTGCACAGTAGAGCGTAGCGCCTTGATATTAGGCGCTGTACATTATGGGTCAGCTGGGTGAAATACTTTTAAACATAGTTTAGTTTGTGAAATAGTTTCGTCTTGAGATCAAATTTATGTCTTTTGCCGCCTAGCGTCAGGTTCAAACGTTTGGTGTGTTGACCTGGTGATATTCCCAGCCACAGACATCTGGAATCCTCGTGCCCTCTGAATCAGGCACTCTGTTGCAAGATGCCCGGAGCCACGCACACACACGGAGTGTCGCAATGTGACAGGCGGTACGTACGTATTCTGAGAAGCTCTCGCTGTAGTACTACGACTACGAACGAAGGATTCCACTCGTTTTGTCCGCCGTGATTGCAGCTCGCCGGGAGAAAACCGGTGGGATGGACCGATTCGCACTGCCGTGGGTTCTCCGTAACAAGTTCTGTCCACAAAGTACACCTGTGTTCAGCACTCGCAGAGAGGATGCTGTCTCATGCGAGCCGGAAGCACCGCCGCACGTAGAGTCGTTAGATATTCTCTGTATTTTTCTAACGAAAAAACGTATTTTCGTTGCGACAACGGACTGACGCGTTGAGTCAAGGTTGCCCCAGTTGACCTCAAAAAAGGTTGCCCCAGTTCACTGGATTGGACATGCATGTCAGGGCAGTCTTTTCATACTGACCGAAACAACGCATCAGGTCTTCACGACTTCACGATCGTGATGTACAGCTGCATACTGAGGTTGGAACTTTCTGAGGAATAATCTTCTCCATGCATCGAGGAAAGCGACAAGGGATCTCCAAGTACTGACCGAAACAACGCACCAGGTCTTCACGACTTCACGATCGTGATGTACAGCTACATACTGAGATATAACAAAAATGCCCCTGGTAACTAATCTAATTATTCTAAGAGCAATTGACAGCCTTTATATACATGTGAAAGTGCGCTCCATATGAATATGAAGGCTAAGAGCATCTTCAATGCTGACCCGCATATTTACTCTCGCATCCGTCCGTGGACAAGGGGATCAGTCCGTGGACATGGATGCGGGAGCCGGCCATTCAAAGCTACCCGCATATGTTCGGTTACATTTCAAATAAACATTAACGAAAATGAACAAATTTGATTTAAACTCAAACAAACCGAATGATATTCATTTAAACTAGGATGATTTTTACATACAACAGGACAAATTTTGTCCAGTAAACTAAAAACCTAACCCTACACTACCCTATACTTAACGGTGACCTTGTAGGCCATGCCGGCCTAGCAGGCGGCTCCCCCGTCATCGTCGCTTGAGCCGTTGTTGGAGTCATCGGCGTTGGGCTTCGAGCGGGGGCGTCGCGGGAGGGCTTCCCCGCAGGCGCCTAATGCTCGCGAATGATCCTCTCCACTTCCTCCTGCACCCTGCACAATACGGTCGCCGCCAAAAACGATGTGGGGAGGGGGGAGGAGGGCGGCGAGCCTTGGTGGAGGCAGCATTGGCGGCGGCGATCTCGCTGAGAGACCACACCTCGCTGTACTTGGCCATCTCCCCATCAAGGCGGCGGAGCCGTTGCTTGCTCGTCTCTGCCGTCGTCATGG